AATACAGTGAACAATAATATAATTATTTTTAACATGTTTAAAAGAGTCAGTTCCCATTTGAAGTATTTTTAAAATAGACTTGTATGTGATGAGAGCAAGGTCTGCCATTGAGAGCACCTGTTAAGTTGGGTGAACTGCCTACACGAAGAGTGACATTTGTTCATCTGTGTTTCTTTCTGAAGTCATTGTGGAAACTTGGGGAAAAGAACAAACTGAGGAGAGGAGAAACAGGAGCTTCTCCAGGGGCTCCTTGGGGTTCATGACCGCGAGCTGAGCCCAGCGACCCCCCTTGTTGGGGCTTCCTTTGGTAGCAGCTGCAGTGGGTAGGGGGGCGGGCTCTGGGCTGGCAGAGCCGTGGAAACGCCCCGAAGCACAGGGCCTCGAGCAGAGAAGGCTCAGTCCAGGCTGGGCGGCCGGCCTGCTGTGTGCAATGGCCGTTTTTAGGCAGAGAACATAGTCGGAACTTTCTGAGCTCAACAGTACCTTAGAAGTTAGAGAAAATTTACAGCCTCTTAGAAACATCGAGATCATTTGTGCTCTGAGTTCGCTTATTTCTATTCTACCTTCACGATTTTTGCCATATCCGCAGCCTCTAAGCACGTAATAGTTTTCTTTAAACCGACTTGCTTTCTTCTCGTAAATGAGTTTGGTTTTAAAGGAAAATTATATCAGCGTCACTTAGCTTCTGGCTGAGTATTTTTTAAATACACGCCAAGATCAGCGAGTAGCTCTAAAACGGACAGCCCCTCTGTTGCCTCGTGCCCCTCAGAATCGCCTCGGCCACCGCCTGGTTCTAGTCCAGCGCCCTCTTCTCCGAGACACATACTCACGTGGACCCCAGGGAGGCTGTGAAGACAGGTGGTCTTCCTGTCTCCCTCTCCAGTGACTTTTTGCCATCAAAGGGGACAAATTAGAGTTGACCCCAGTATGGAGTAAGGCCGCTCCTAGCGGAGGCGTGGTGGGAAGGATTCTGGTTCCAGCCAGCTGCACCCTGTGGAGTTTCAACAGGACCGAATGGCTCGGGGCGGATTTTCTTTCCATGACATTTGCCTTCTAATAATAAATCGACAGATGTAGTTGTCTCGCTCTGCCTTTACCGTGACATTTGCCGTCACTTCGCATGTTTTTGTTTGCAGACACAGCCAAGAAACACGCTTCTCCGGGAGGCTTCACCCTGTGCCCTTGGCCTCGGCAGAGCCGTGCTGCAAGCAGCGGCCACTCGGGCTCGGGCCCCTCTTCCTTCCCGCCCGGCTTCTCGCAGGGCCGCCCTCTCCCCTCAGAGCCACGGCCACTCCTCTCCTTCGGGGCTTTTCCGGGAATTCCGTGGGGCAGTGGGGTCTTTCCTTCCACCGTGCTCTCTGTTCTCGACTGGCTGCCAGAAAATGCCAGAAAAGAGCCCGTGCCTAAAAGTCCATATTCAGACGTGGTAGGATCCGCGTTTCATAAAGTTCAAAAGAAAGCAGTATATGCACGAGGAAACCGCAGTGATGTTCACGATAAGCACACAATAAACCCCAGCTGACATCTTTGTTGCCTATGCAGAGAAGGTGGGCAGGGCAGGGGAGCAGGGGGTTCTAGTCCATAAGGTTACCGATTGCGCTTCCTTGGGTCGGCTGGAGGGTTACAGGGCTCATTGTAGGATTTTTAAACACTAAATTTAAAAGGTGTGCATCGGTGGAAGGGACATCTGACACCAGTCCAGGGCGTGCAGGGAGTGGACCCGTCGTGCTGTGGACTGCCAGGGCCTGCTCGCTTCTCTGCTGCTTGTACAGACTGACCGGTGCCCGGAGAGTTCCGGTGCGCGCTAGGCCCTCAGCAAACTTCTGCTGAATATTGTTTTCACATGTGTATTTGTAAAGTTGCAATGGGAATTTCCAAGCACTCCGAGGCAACGATGAGGCAGGTGGAGCTGAGGTCCAGGGCCCCAGCACAGCTGCGTGGCATAAGCCCCGGCGCCCTGCTTCCCTTGTCACCCCCAGCCTTTTCTCCAGCGGCCTTTGAAGCGTCTAAATCCCAGAAATCATCTCATTGCTCCCACTCTTCCTGAGTTCTTTTGGGGTCTGTTGAAGCCGCCCTCCTCCTACGCCCCTGGGGAGAGCGTGTCAAGGTCACGGGCCCTGCTTTCCCTGCCTCTTCCCCACGGGGCGTTTAATCACTGCACAGACCGAGGGGACCCTCGCCAGGGGAGGGGACCCTTGCTGCTGTGAGCCCCAGGAGGCTCCTAGAGCCGCCCCCCATCGTTTGGGTTCCCTTTGAAAGGCCCCCCGATTGCTCACTGGAGATGTCCCCAGTTCCCAAAGCAAAGGTGGACACATTTCCAGTGACGAGGCAGGTTGCAGCCATGGTCTTTCTAAAAGAATGCCCGTTTGGAACATACGGGCCCCAAATCAGTGTGATGTCAGTTGCCACCGTCCGTGTGGAAAGATTTTGCCACGGCCAGCTGCCGGTCCTCTTTGTGCTATATTAATACAAGGGCCACGGGGCCCATCGGGGGTGGAAGCCAGGGAGAGAGGGACAGCTGTGGCAGACATCACACCACGCTCCCGGCATGTGCTCCGTGTTACGGGCACGCAGATGGCTCAGAGGCCCCCAGCCCGCGCCTGTCTTCTCCTTGTAGGGCCAGGAATGGGCTCGAGCTGGCAATACACTCGATGCAGGAGCCAAGCGAAGAGTGGCGGGATGGGGACGGAGGGCTCGGCCGACCCCGTGTTCTGGGTCAGCTGACGCGTTTACTGGAAGCGGAGGCATGTGCTGGCCGAGTGAGGCCCCGGTATTCAGACAGCTGGGGGTATTGGGTTCTATATGCCAAGGCTGGACAGATATTTTTAAATGTCCCAGGACAAATGGAAGCCCAGTCGGCAGCAGGGTAGAGGGGCAGGGGGATTTGGAGGACACCACTTCACCATAGCTAGATTTGGTCGGGAGAGCTGGGCAGGATTAGTGTCTGGGAAGAAGCCCAGCATGTGAAGAGGTAGCAGGAGGGTCCTGTGAGTGAGTGGTAGGCCCTGGCAGGCAGAGGAGGGCAGGTGAGGATGCAGAGCAGGTGCAGGGGCCAGGGGACGTGCCCAGGACAGGTCTGGAGGTGGGAGGTTGGCAGGACTGAGCCCCCAGCTCAGAGGGACGGGATGCGGATGCAGCCTGTGGTTCAGGCCCCTGGTTTTGGGTGTCAAACAGACCAGAGCACCAGGCTTACCCTGGTCCACCCCACGCCCCTGGGCGACGGCTCATCTGCTCGGGCGCTTCCTTCCTCCCCCAGAAGGCCCGGGGCTCTGGGAGACCAAGCCGCTAAGCGTCGCTGTTACCGTCAACAGCAAAACCCCATCGGTGCACACCCGCCACCCCAGAGTGGCGGTGGAAGCTGCCCCCGGGCCTGAGCCCACCCAGGGGCGGGTTGTGTGTCGACTGCACAGATGTTTTCAGGTCCGACTTCCGATGGCCGCCAGCATCGGGTAGTAGGCGAGCTGACCACAGCTTTGGAGATTTGACTTCTCTTGGCCCAAGGGAGCCTCTGGGTGTCTGGGGCCCGCCATCCACAGGCCCCCGAAGCTGAGGGGGTGGCCGCCCCCTGTCGGCGAGCCTCACACCCGCCACCGCACCGTCACCTGGCTCCGTCACTCAAGGCCGAGCAGGGCCTGGCCTCTGTAGGCATTTTCACTTGTCCTCCGGCAGTAAAGTGGAGCTATTATTATCTCAGAAGGAACGAGGGCCATCAGAATTAGCCTCTGAGCTGCTGGCCGGAGCCTCCTTGACTTTGCCGTGACATTGGGCTGGGAGACCTGGGCTCATGGACAAGCCCTGAGTGGCCCAGCCTGGGGAGGAGCAGGTAACGGAAGGGGGCAGCGAGCCCCTCACCAGGCCTCGGCCAGGCCCATGGGGCCAGCGAGGTGGCCCAGTTTTCTCCCCATGGCCGCTTCGTAGCCTGAACAGACACTCCACAGGGTCAGGGCAGTTACCGCGGCTACACCGGCATTTGTGTGTCTCTGGGCCTCTCGGCTGTGGCCAGGCGGGGGCTCAGGAAGGTGCTGAGGAGGCCAGGGCAGGGCCGAAACCTGGGTGTGGCTCCTGGACACAGGGGAAGGAGAAGCGGAGGGGGCCGGGCTGGGGGTGGGGTTCTCTTGGGGCCCCTGGGGCCCTTGGCTGGCGGCGGGCAGCCCTTGAGTTCATTCCTATTCCTGTGCAGAGTTTCCTCCTTGTCCTCTGCAGGTCAGACTTCTCTGTTGCTTGTCCAGGCCCCTGGGAAGGAGCCACGGCAGCCATGCCTGCGGCTGGGCCTTCGGGGCCACCTCCGTGGACGCTTAGTCGGAGATCCCTCCTCTCCCGTTTCTCCTGTGGGAGAAGCGCTGGGTTGGCTGTCAGCACACAGCCTGCCCCACGCTCGGTCTTTTTGTGGAGAAGCCCTACTCCTGATTTGTTTGTTTCCCTTAGTTTGATGTGTCTCGTGGTGGCTGCCCTCTCCCAGACACGAGGAGAATACATTCATTCACTTAGTCTTGTAACCTTGCGGGGAAGCGGAGGCACAGAGAGGTCAAGTAACTTGCCTGCGGCTGCACAGCTGGCAAACGGGGGAGCCTAGATTGGAAGTCAGGTGGCGGGCCAGGCTCCAGAGCTCACTTTCCAAGCTGCGGCCTTTGAATGCCGCTCAGGGCGCGAGGGGCCCGGGAGGGGTCTGAGATGGAGCTTGGACTGAGTCAGGAGCCTGCTGGGCACAGGCTGGGGAAAGGCTCTGGCGTGGGCAGAGCTGGCCATGGGCCATAGGGACAGCAGAGTCCAGCTTGGCTGCAGGAAGTGGGGGGGCGGGCGTGAGAGGAGGGCAGCAGGCTGAGGGGTCTAAGCCGTGGTCTGAACCCACGCCTCCTAAAGTCCCCCTGCTGTGACCTCCCTGGTGGCGCAGCGGTTAAGAATCCGCCTTCCAACACAGGGGACGTGGGTTCAATCCCTGGTCCGGGAGGATCCTCCATGCCGCAGGGCAACTAAGCCTGAGCGCCATAACTGCTGAGCCCACACGCCACAAATAGAGAAGCCTGTGCACTGCAACTAGAGAGCCCTGCGTGCCTCAGTGAAAACCCAGGGCGGCCAAAAGGAAAAAACAAAGCCTCCTGCTACCGCGGAGGAGATCGTCGGAGGCAGGAAGGAGCAGCGGGGGACCAGTCAGTCCAGATGAGGCCTGGCCGGAGCCACCAGTTGGCGGGGAGAGTGTCTGAGATGATCTGGGGGGCTCACAGCACGGCTGGTGGGCGCATGAGAGGGGTCAGAGGTGACTTGGGGTGGCTGGGGTCTGCTTGCCAAGGCCAGTCTCAGGGCGGCTTTCCCTCTGGGTCCTTGTTTTTGACAGTTTAGAAGAGGGTCCCTGGTACATCTGGGCCCTTCCTCAGCCCTTGGGCTCAGCCTGTCCTCGGAGCTGGTTCCTTCTGGCCTGGAGCCCACGTGGTGGGGAGGTTGTCCTCGTTGGGGAGATGGCCGAGACTGGCGAAACCAGTGTGCACGGTGACCCAGCCTCCGGCAATGCCTCCCTCCCACCGGTCCCCTTCTGAAGGGGCCACCCATCTTCATCCTCTTGCCAGGGTGTTACAGGGGTTTTCTGGGGTTTTTGGACCAGTGAGGAAAGCGATGCTGGAGAGAGGGTCAGTGCTGGGAGCCGCTTCTCCAGTCCCCTGACGGGAACAGCAGGCTGGGTGGGCTGCGTGGGTGTCTGGTGTTGCGGGTCCACTGTGAAGGGGTCTCTGGGACACCCCCAGGCTCCCACTGGAGCCCCACCCGGCGTCCTGCTCTCTCTGGGTGATTGACCTTCCCGGGGGCCCGAGCCTTGGCACAAAGTGCCCCAGGCCCCCGCCAGCAGATGGCGCAGCTGCAGTAACCCAGCTGGCCGTGCCCCTTTCTCAGGAGACACCGGGGGTGGGGCTCCCGCGGCCCCCGCACCCTGGACACCTCCTGGACCTGCTCTTGAACCTGGCTGTGTGGTCACAGGTAAGTGACACGACCCGCGTGGCTTTCCCTGTCCGTACCATGGTTGGGTGCAGGGACCACGGGTTCCACCAGCTCTGTCATTCCATCCCGAGCGCCACACGGTAGGGCTCCCCACCCCCGTGCCTGCCCCGCAGAAACAGCAGGAGCTCGCAGCCCCGACTTCTTCCTCCGGCCAACTGGACGGGCTTCAGAGAAGCTCTTCTGAGCCTGGCTAGGGCCCCGAAGGAGTCAACTCCAGGCAGGTGATTTGTCTAAGATCACAAAAAAGGCCTGGGGGATCTCGACTCAACCCACTTCATTAACAACCTGCTCCCCTTCATCTGAAAAGGGGCCCCATTTTCAAAACCATGACCGCTTCTCCCTTAAATCAGCAGCGGACGACAGCCTAAAGATTGCCCGTAAATATACGTTGCCCTGAGGGCTGTTTTGGCCATTAGAAGAAGGACACCAAGTCAAAGGTCTGTCCGAGTGTGTCCTTGGGGCGTTGTGGGGTGTGCATGGGGGCTGCCTACACCCTGTTAACCCTCTGCCCCCTTTCCTCTCTCTCTCTACCCCAAGCCTTTCTGCTCTCGAGCGTCCTTGGAGCCGTCAGCAGCGGTGTCCCCCCTCTGAAGCCCCGACACGACTGTGTGGTACCCCTGAACCTCCATAATGCCACCTCCTTGATTTGAAACCTCAGTGCTTCAGCCCCTCCTTGATGGGAGTCTAAGCTCGCCCTCTGAAGGAAAGGTTTGCTAAGAAAACAGAATTTTATGCACAGTCTCGGGAGGTAAGGCGTGGTCTTCACCCTCCACCAGAACCTGCCTGTTCTTAAGGGTTTCCATGTTGCATGATCTGCAGGTTAGAGTTGGGTCACGTCTAGCTTTGAATAAAGGCCCAGCAAGTTGCCTCTTAGAAATACCTTGTCACAGCTGACCTTAGGTTCACTATGGGACTTCTTTAAGATGGTCTGATTAATTCATGGTGGCCACCCCACGGCCCGTAGCCACCTGAGACAAGAGGATTTACTGTACCAGTTTATTGCCAGGCCGTATCAGCTGATAAGCAGGAAACTATAGACCATCTGTTTAAAAATAAAAATAAAATAAAAAATTAACAGCGGCACAGCCCTAGAGCAAACACTTTGTACTGCTGCATAGTAAACGAGCCTGTTGGATGTAGTGACCTTGGCTGAGGTAGCCACGGGCTTGTCCCTCCGTCCCTGTGTGTCCGGGGCGCTGGGCTGCTCAGATCTGTGGCCTTCTGGCCCCCAAGCAACACCCTGGAGGGCAGAGCTCCCCGCCCCACAGAGCCCCGGGCATCACTCCCGTCCTGGCCGCACCAGGCTCCCCCCTCCAGCTCTGGCCACATTTGCGGGTCTCTAACTCTCTTTAGGCCACAGCGACTGTCCCCAGGCAGGATGTCCAGCCCCATCAGCCGAGAGCCCCCACGTTCAGTCGCGTGGACCCATCGTGGAGGCCGGCCTGTGGGGTGGGCGGGACACGGGAGCGTGGGCCAAGGAGGGCTTCCTGGGGCCGCGAAGGACGGGCCTTTTGCTTGGCTTCGCGGTGAGCTGCCAGCCCCGTTTTGATTTGCAGCTTTTGTTCGGTACTGCGCGGGGTCTCCTTCGCCTTGGCACTGGCTGGGCGGGGGAGGCGTCACCACGGCTCTCCTCGGGTCCGCACGCAGGACGACATCGTTGGCGCGGCCCGCCACTCAAATCAAGGCAGCAACAGAACCTTCCGAGAAAAGCCTTCAGAAGTGAAATGTCGAGGCTGCCGTTATGCGTGAGACGGTGGCAGAGCCGCGATCCGCTTCTCTTCCTTTCCAGGGTGCCCTGAGGCTGCTGCCGAGCCCACGTTCAAAGGCTGTTTCTTCAAAGTAAACGGTGCTGCCTTCGAACTGGGAGGGGAAGCGGGCGGTTGGGAGGCAGGTTTCCACGTGCGTGTTGAACGGCTGGGGCGTGGTCTTTTGTCCATGATCGTGTGAGAACTTGGGGTGCGGACAGGGAGGTCCAAGTCCGTCTGGGCCCCGGTGTTGGCAGGGCTGGGAGGGGGCATCAGGCACAGCCCTGTGGGAAGTGACCGTGAAGGACCCTTCCGGAGGGCCCCCCCCAATCCTGTTGTGCTTGGTTCAGAGGGTTGGGCGGAGGCTTTCCTGAAGGCTCTAGGAGTGCTGCACCCACAGGCTGTGTGCTCAGGCGGCGGGACGTGGGCCCTCGGACGAGGGAAAGGCCGGCCCGGCCACGTTGTCTGCCTGCTCCCCCCAGGGAGGCCCCAATGCGGTCAGCCGCCCCGTGGTGGCCAGTGGGCATCGGGATGCAAGCCCGCCTGTTTTTCCGCTGCTCCAGGCCTCTGGTGTCTCCCCACCGCCTGGAACGCAAAAGCCATGCCAACCTTGGTCTTGAGCATCTGCAGCTCCCCAAAGGCCCCCGATGCTCTTCAGCCTGCACCTGGCCTGTTCCTCCCCTCCTGGGGGTCTTCCTCGCTCTCACCCTGGCTGCCCACCTGGCCTGGCCAGTCCTCCCCACCCTTGGGAAGCCCCCTGACCGTCCAGCCCTCGCTGAGCGTCACAGCCCCTCTCGTCTCGGTTCCTTTGCTGGGTGCTTGTTTGTTGCCCACGCCTTCTACTTCTTCTAGACCGAGCCCCAAGGTGACGGCCAGCTCCGCCACGCGGACTGTTACGCTCTCCAGCTTCTGTCTCCACGCGTGGCACAAAGTAGGTGCCTAATAAATTTGTGTAGAACGAATAGGTGGGTCTCTTTGTCTTTGTTCTTTCTCCACCGAGCTCAGCTCCGCACGTGTAGCCTGTGTATGTGCACTCGTCCCTATCGGCCCTTCCCAGTGTGCCCCTAACTCATGGTCGATGCTTTAGGGGTCCCGCGGGAAGCCTAAAACCCACCTACGCCACCCCAGACCACGTCGGGTCAGTTTCGCTGCCATTTCTCTTGGTACAGTTTGCTCTTTTCCTTCATGGCATTGAGCACAGCAGGGAATCGTATGTTTATTTCCTTAATGCCCGTCTTGCCAACCACACTGAACCCCGAAGGGCACACGTAGAGCCAGACAGGCGTTCAGGTGATTGCTGGATGGGTGGGTGGGTGGGTGGGTGGGTGGATGGATGGATGGGCAGAACAAAAAGATTCAGACACTTGAGGGTGTGGAAAAGGCAACCGAACTTGAAGAATGTGTCACAAGTGCAGAGTGGCTTCCCGGCAATTCCTGGGACGCGCTGGGCACAGGCGGGTGGTGTGGAGGCAGGACGTGTCCCCAGGGAGTACTGAGAAGAGGCAGTAGGAAGACACCTTGTTCCCAGTAGAGCCGTGAATTCTTTAAGACAGATTCCTCTGAGAAACTGATCCCCCCATCCCAATGGCAGCATGTAGTTGATGTACAGCTCCTGGGGCCCGAGGACCCCTGAGGCCCGTTTGCGGACCTCGCAGGCTGTGGCCTGGCTCCACAGGCTGGGGAAGGGGAGCTGTGGGGGCCCCACAGGAAAGGTGCCAGGTCCACAGTGGCTTTGCGCTGGGGAGCCGGGCCCTCAGAGACGGCCGCCCCTCTGCCTGCCCCAAGAGTTATGCCATCCGGGCTTGGGTGCCTTCCGCAACAGGGTACCGGGCAGAAGAGGCCTTGGGTGAATAGGACGGCGAGGCCAAGGGCTCTGGGGAAGGCCAAGAGACGAGGTTTAAGGTGAGGCCCTTGCTCCGAGGCCACCCTTAGAGCAGGGAGAAGCAGTGTTGTGTGGCTTCGGGAACTGTGTAAGTGGTTGGTCGCAAGCTCCACGGCGAAGTCCGCCCACCCCAGCCGTCTCCTCTCTCCTCCACGCCCAGAACAGGGCACAGAGCTGCCCGCCTCGATCGCCTGCTCCCCTCCCACGCGCCCCATCACTGCTCCAAACCTTTTCTGTTCTGCAGGCCCACGCCCGGCACTGCTGTGGGCTTGGCCTCCCTCCTTCTGTAACACCAACTGCCAGCCGTTTCTCACTGTAGCCCTTACTTCTGTCTCAGGGAGAACAATGCGACCATCCTCTCCAAGGCCAGCCTTCCTTCTGTGGCTTCCACGCCACTCCAATAAGCCAGTGGGCACGTGGCCCGTCGTGGGGCTAAGGTCCCTTAGCACACAAGAGAGGCCAGCATCCCTTCCATGTGGAGTTTCCTCTGGTGGGAAGAGGAAGGCCTAAATGAGAAATAGGAATTATGTAGTGTATTAGAAACTGATAAATTCTGCAGAAAAGTGTAGTGGGGTAGGAGAAACAAGAAGGCAGACTATGCAGAAACAAAACGAAAAGACAAACCTACAGACTGGGAGGAAATATTTGTAAACGATGCAACAGACAAGGGCTTCATTTCCAAACATACAGCCAGCTCATACAACTCAGGATCAAAAAACCAAACAAACAGCCCAATCAAAAAACGGGCAGAAGACCTAAATAGACATTTCTTCCAAATGTGGTCTCTATGGACTGCATAGTCCGTACAGATAGGCAACAGACACATACATGAAAAGATGCTTCACGTCACTAGTTAATAGAGAAATGCAAATCAAAACTACAGTGAGGTATCACCTCACACCAATCAGTGGCTGTCATCAAAGAGTCTACAAATAACGAATGCTGGAGAGGGTTTGGAGACAAGGGAACCCTCCTACACTGTTGGTGGGAATGTAAATTGGTGCAGCCACTGTGGAGAACAGGTTGGAGGTTCCTTAAAAAACTAAAAATAGAACTACCGTATGACACAGCAATCCCACTCCTGGGCAAATATCCAGAGAAAACTCTATTTCGAAAAGATGCACACACCCCAGTGTTCACTGCAGCGCTATTTACAATAGCCAAGACATGGGAGCAACCTGAATGTCCCTCAACAGACGAGTAGACAAGGAAGATGTGGTACATGTATATATGTGTGTGTGTATATATATATATATATATAATGGAATATTACTCAGCCATAAAAAGGAATGAAATTGGGTCATTGTAGAGACATGGATGGACCTAGAGATGATCATACAGAGTGAAGTAAGGCAGATAGAGAAAGACAAATATGCTATCACTTACACGTGGAATCTAAAGAAATGATACAAATGACCTTATTTACAAAACAGAAACACACTCACAGACTTAGAAAACAAATTTATGGTTACCAAAGGGGAAAGGTTGGGGGAGGGATAAATAAGGAGGTTGGGATTAACATATACACACTACTATATGTAAAACAGAGAGCAAGGATCTGCTGTAGAGCACAGGGAACTATACTTAATATCTTGTAATAACCTGTAGTGGAAAAGAATATGTATATGTATAATTAATTTACAACGTTGCATTAGTTTCAAGTGTACAGCAGAGTGATTCATATATATATGAATAACATTTTAAATGTTTAAAAAACTCATAAAAATAAACAACCCAATCAAAAAATGGGTAGAAGACCTAAACAGACATTCCTCCAAAGAAGACATACAGATGGCCAACAGGCACATGAAAAGATGCTCCACATTGCTAATTATTAGAGAAAAGCAAATGAAAACTACAGTGAGGTATGCCCTCACAGCAGTCAGAATGTCCATGATCAAAAAGCCTACAGATAATAAATGCTGGAGAGGGTGTGGAGAAAAGGGAACACTCCTACACTGTTGGTGGGAATGTAAATTGGTGAAGCCACCGTGGAGAACTGAATGGAGGTTCCTTAAGAAACTAAGAATAGAGTTACCATATGATCCAGCAATCCCACTCCTGGACGTATTTCCAAAAAAATGAAAACTGTAATTGGAAAAGGTACATGCACAGCAATGTTCATAGCAGCTCTATTTACAATAGCCAAGACGTGGAAGCAACCTAAGTGTCCATCAACAGACGAATGGATAAAGAAGATGTGAGATACATATATATATATATATATATATAGAGAGAGAGAGAGAGAGAGAGAGAGAGAGAGAGAGAGAGAGAGAGGGAGAGAGAGAGGGAATGGAATATTACTCAGCCATAGAAGAGAATGAATTACGGCCATTTGCAGCAACATGGATGGACCTAGTGAAGTAAGTTAGACGGAGAAAGATAAATATTATATATCACTTATATGTGGAATCTAAAAAAATAACACAACTTATTTACAAATCAGAAGCCTACTCACAGACATAGAAAACGAACTTATGGGGGAAAGGGGGCGAGAGGGATAAATTAGGAGTTTGGGATTAACAAATACGCACTACTATATATAAAATAGATAACAAGGACCTACTGTAGAGCACAGGGAACTATATTCAATACCCTGTAATAACCTATAATGGAAAAGAAGCTGAAGCTGTCCACTTGAAGCTAGCACAATGCTGTAAATTAGCTATTGTTAAATTTAAAACATTAAAAAATCAAAGGATTAGAATATCATAGATGAGAAAGTATCACGCATCACTTCTATTAAATTATGTATTATTTCATGAGAAGAAAAGAAAGCAGGTTACGACTTTAATGGGGGCCGCTCAAGTGTTCCTTCCCACTTGTATCCGGCCTGGAGGCGTCTCCACCTTCAGCACCGCGGACATTGGGGCTGGATCATCCTCTGCTGGGGGCCGTCCTGGGCACTGTGGGCTGTTGGGCAGCATCCCTGGCCTCCGCCCACGAGGTGCCGCCCTCACCAGTTGTAACAATCCAAAGCATCTGCAGACAGTGTCCAGTGTCCTCCTGAGGGTATTCATGCCTAGTGAGAACTACTGATGCAAAAGTAGCTTAAACAAATTTTACCTTGACCTGCTTGGCAGGGAAAAAAAAAAAAAAAAAAAAAAAAAGATTTAGCTCATCACCTCTTTCCCTCTTTAAACTTGACCTAGACTCAATGCACCAAGGCAGCTGAGTCATAAAGAAAATGCCCTTCAAGGGTCCTGATGACTGAGGATGTTTAGCTCAATGTAGAGACTGATGGATGGATGAAGAAATGGTCCTCGGGCAGTGTGTCTACAGGGGCTAGTGTGTCTACACGGGCGAGTTACCTACATAAGTTTCCCATTTCTATCCAGGGCTCTGAATAGCAATGACACCCAGTAGCAACAACCACACCCCACGCTCAGATTTTGGTTTCTAATTCCACTTTCCAGTACAAGGAACCAGTCTCCTTGCAAAAAGGGCTTAGTGCTGGGCTGGGACAAGGACTGGATCATCTGACTACCCAAGTCATAGCACTGGGTCATAACCCAGTGTGTAAAATCAACGTCCACGAGACCACATGGATATCATAACTCCAAGGAATTCATATAGATGCCCCTTCAAGGAGGGGCAAATAACTCCTCAGCCCTGAAGTCTGGGCAGCACGCCAGGACTCGCTTCCAGAGTCCAGTGTAGAAAGGGGGGGAGAGGAAACATCACAGCCTAGAACCACATCCCCCGTCAGTGGTGGAGCCTTTTTGAGAGCATAGACCTGAAGGGACATGATGAGAAGACCTGCGCATCCGTGGGCTTCCCCCAAACCCATGACCCAGACGTCAGGGGCACCCTACAAAATACCTGCCAGCACTCCTCAAAATGGCCATCGGAAACTAGGAAGACGTGAGAAACTCTCGGCCAAGAGGAGCCTGCGGAGCCGTAACAGCAGAGTGTCATGTGGGGTCCCCCGGGGGGGGTCCGGAACAGAAACGGGGCGTCAGAGAAAAACCAGTGAGACCAGAATGACCAGTGGAGTTCAGGTAATAATAATGTATCAATATTGGCTCATTAGTTGTGATGAATTACCATGGCACGTGACAGTGGCAGAACCAGGTGCTG